CTAGTGATTAAGCGTTCACACATGAGACGGATAGGCGGCCTGCTTAAGCATCTTGGCTACCTGTTCCTGCCATCCAGATATTTGAACAAGTTATCTATTTTTATTTGTTTTAATATATCAATATGTTTATTAATCACATGATGTATTCTGCTGCGTTTCTGAAAAGTGTACAACCTTTCGTTGTCAAAGTTACAAAAAACTCAATAAGAGCCAATGTGGTTGCTGGCAATATACAGCGAAAAGAATGCACATTATTCAGATGTGCATTTACTGAACTGCTAACATCTAAGTGGCGATCACTCAATATTTATCGCCAGGACCGACCAAGAAGAAAAAAAGGAAACTTGTTGAAATACTTTACGCTGAGAATTCTATATTGTGCCAAAAATATAATATTGAATAAAGCTGATGATAATAATAATAATAAAATAATAATAGGTCCTGGGTTCGAATCTCGCGAGGTGGGATCGTGAATGCACACTGATGAGGAGTTTCAAACTATGGTGAAATGGCTGTTCAGTGTTTCTAGATTTACGATTATGGTCTAACTTTAATTGACTCATGATCTCAATTATTAAATAATAATTAAGTATATAATTAACTATTATGCCATAAATGTGTATCCTTAATTTCAAGGGGTATTAAACAAACATTATTTTAACATACATTCATATGTACAGGAAACGAACTCTGCTGTACAATACAAAGTTAGAATGAGTAGAAAAAAGAAGATAATTCTAGTAAGTTATTTTATCACATCTGACTGATATCTCAAAGAAAAATCCATTAAGTTCATATGTGAAGGACTTCGATCAAGCTGTGAGAAGAATATTTTGTGGTTCATAAATATTTAGCCATTGTATTTTGTTTATTCAAGATAACACAGTGTCTATTATCAATAATGTGTATTCACAATAATCAGTAATCTGATAATATGGTTCTTAGCATAAAGTGAAATAAATGATCACAACTAAAAATATCAGTAAAACCTATTACATAGAGTATTTGTTCAAGCCTTTATAATTTACAATGATAATTACAACTGTTTTTGTGATATTGGTGTCTACCAGTTATACGCTATGAAGACACAATGTTATTATTCATTAAAAACTAATTTAGTGAACACTTAAAAGGTGCTTCTTTCTTAAGTTACCAACCAATTGTCAATAATAGCTGTTTGTTTTCTGAGAGAAAAATGTACGTCTCGCAATATTTCTTTACTTGTATTGTTTATGTTGATTAGCGTTTTTTAGGAAGGTTGTTTTCTAAGGAATGGGGTTGCTGACCCCAATGTCCAACCCTCCTTCTTTACCCAGACTTGGGACTGGCAGTAACCCTAGGAGAGCTACAGGCGGAGTTTTACTTGTATGGGCATAAGAAAATATATGCAGCTTAGAACAAGAGTTACTAGTGTTTGATATCCTCTAAACTCTGATAATAAAACACGAGACAACCGTAAGTTTGTACTCCAGTAAGATACTATATTCATGCTAGGTTACACACTAGGCGATTTTCTAATCACTTTTGAAATAAGTACAGACGAATAGCTTTATTCGATGCTCTTATTTACGTCAGAAACACTCTTATCAACAAGATAATTAACTCTTACGAATACGTATAATAGACACTGAACAAGTTAGTGGCTATCTGGGACCCAGTATGTTAATGAACAACATGATGTTTGATGTAATAGGTACTGGGCTTAAGTTTCTCTTTAAAAATCAACACTTAAATCCAGTTACATCCAAATAACGAGTCTTCAATAAAATCAAACATGTCCCGGATTCCATTATTAGCCAAAACCTAAATATACTAAAACATAGATATACAATCCTTCTGAATGATATTTTTCTAATATTGAAGTTGTGAGGTATGAGATAACTGAAATGACTTTTCAACGTCGTCAATTATAAATACCTAATATATTTTCTTTCATGTGAACTATAAGAATTTCCTCTTATGTATCCAAAACATTCAAATAAAAACTGACTAACCGAATAATCCTCCGGTTCTACATATTGACGTTCATTTAATTATTTCTCAGCGTTTCACAATGCAATCCATTCAAGTATATTAAACATTATTACACAAAATCCACCATGTGCTAGTATACTCATATCAGTTAAGTTAGCTAGTATTGTTCAACTGTTTTTTTTGTGTAAAACCATATCCGGGCAAATAACTCAACATAGTAATTCGACTCACAAATTTCTTAACTAATCTATAATGTTCTCTATACTATTATTTCTATTAAATAACTAATCCAATTTTAAGTGAAAAAGAATGGTCTTATTTCATTTGATGTTTATCAACTTTATTTCCGTATTGAATTTTGACATGAAATTTTTCACATTCAAAAAAGATTTTGTCGACGATAAATCATTGTATCTGTTTAAGTGTCAGTTTGCTAAATAGCATTACGTTGCTATGACACAGTTAAATATTTTAAAAAATTAAATGGATTTCTAGAAAGCAGCCACGAGTTCCGCAAATACTTACAATATGAACAGAATTATTCAGTGACATCATAACCCCCTATTAGGACTAATCACTTCCCAGATTGCTAAGATACAAACACATTGATTTTCATAACTCAATTTCTTTAATCTGTGTAGACGATTTTGTCTGGAAAAACAAACAGACAAATTAAATATTAGTTGTGATACCCTCGAAAAGCGAATTTATTTTGCTCATTCTACGCAGTAATTCCGATTACAATTGACAGCTACTATTATTTTAGATTAATTTGGAAACAATATTTATCGAAAGCAACAATACCTTTGTCCCTTGGTGCCTTTAGATTATAAGTTTACATAATAAACCATGCTACTTGTAAGTAGTTCAAAACTAACTAAAACATTTTTAACGTTGCAGCCAGAACTGTTGTAACGTTTTTTCCGAAAAAATGCTCAATAATAATGATGACCGAAAACAAAATTTAAGGAAAATGAAGGGCTGTGTATATTCAATAAACTTTGAAGAACGACCTAGTAAGACTGCCATACGAAGTATATAAACAAGTTGAACGCCTTACAAAACAGATCATCAGAATTAGCATAAGTAGCAGTAAATCGAGATGAGTTTCATTTTTTTGTCAATAAATTTATCTTTTTCAATTAACTTCACGTAGAAAAGCATGACCCTATCAAGAATGAGACAGACGTTGAAAAAATTGCTCATATATGTATATAGTCTAGTTACTTAATAATTATCCGAAAATAATATATTCAACAATAGTCCATAAATCGTGCCTAGACGTTAGCATTCGTTTATTCTTCGTTAGGATATAACAATACCAATATTCCAGAAATACAATCTACGAGATTTATACGCATGCGAGTACTCATACAAAGGGAGTCTTGGGAATACATGTATCATCATTTTAACTCGTTTACTACAGATAATAGTATTACAAGATTGTCTGAGATAAATGGTTTACTTCCATCTCACATGATACAAAATTAGAAATGTTTCCAACAGCGATTATCTACAAAATTCAGTTTCGAATCTCGCCTTTAATTATGTACTACCATAGCTTTAAAAAATATGTGCATCTCAAGGTTTGGCTTACAAATCTGAATGATAGAACCTATTTTGCTTGCTTTGATCAAAGAAACAAATTTAATAAAGAACCTACCATTTTCTAGCTGGGTTGATTGAAAAGGTGGGAATAGCCAGTCATCCACATGTGCTTTAGGAAAGATAAATTCTTAGCATAATTCACTCGTTCAGTTTTTAATGAATGATTATAATTGTTCAAAACGAGATGGAGTAATATTTGGTGAATAATAATTTACATCAGAAGGGGTTTTGTGGATATTGTAGTAATTTCAATGATAGAGTTAATTAAAGTTAGACCACTATGGAAAACCTGCAAGCACTGGATGGTCGTTTGGTCCTATTTTTAGACTCTTCAGCAGTGCACATCAACGATCCCATCTCGCGAAATCCGAATCCAGGACCTATCATTCTCATGTGTGAGCGCTTAACCACTGAACCCGTGTCATTTAATTAATAAAAACAATTTCTTATGATTCAAGTAGATTTTATTTATATATTTATTTGAACACATAGATATTGGTACAAAGGTTGAACCAAATACATATGCGCCACACAAATCTCATTTGATTTGTGTGAGGGTTGTGATACTGTCCGGATGCCCAAACCAAAGTAGGTGATTTTATTAGGGGGCCACACCCGGAGCCTTCGACCTAGAGGTATGATCCGCAACGTAAGGAGGTACAGTCTCATGGTAGTCGTGACCAATCATTGGTTCATACACCATTTGTTCCCTCAGAATACTGAAGCCCATGTGCACCATTGGTCTGGATTCAGGGTTTTCCAACTCCCCTAGGTGGACTCTCTGTGTCCACCAACCCGGTTAAAGCGCCGAACATTCGCTTTTCGTCCTCTCAATTTCGTAAACAACACCCCACCACGAGAAGGAAGTGAGTAGGACTTCCCTGGCAGAGGCTATATACGCGTGGCCATGTGAGAGCATTTCGAGAGGGAAAGCGAACTGTCCCCACTCTCGGTCGTACCAGGGCATTTGGGGGCGATTCAAGTAGAATGTATTTTTCAATATAGTTAGTTGAATCTTTTTCATAATAACTCTATCACTTCATTCAATCAAAAGAATACAACCACTTGAAATGAAGATAATCTGATCATTTAAACATAGGATATGAATCACCTAAAAATGTTTTCTCCGAAAGATCTTAATTACACACAACCATTCTACTCAACTCAAACAATTCCTTTTATTTTCTTATAAAAGTTTATTTGTAATGTATAAGGATATATGAAATGATACAGAACTATTGAAGAACACAAGACATATCTAAATAGATTTTATTTATATTTCAATCTTCTTTTTTTAACTTTAAAGAAAATATTTAATAATATTTAGAAATATTATTTACAACTGATCAAAACTAGTAAGTTATTTATTCACTCCTTTTTTATTTTACCTTTTATTATTATTTCAATATTTTTTTTATTTATTCAATTAGTTCATTTTCAATAGTTCGAGAACGTTTTACTGTTGGACTTGAATAATCATAAAATAACCATAGTTTTGGTAAATATAATTCAAATTCAGCACAATACATATCTTTATATGGAGCAACATTTCGTACAAAACGATAATGCCAATTTCTTATGAAACATTTATCATTAATTTGTTCATTGTTCATATTATCAACTGTTTCATCATTTGTTGTTGAATTAATAAATTGAAATAAATCAGTCATATTTGTATTTAAAGCTTTAGCTAAACGTATTTTAATAGTTTGTTCCGATTCAATATTACGTTTCATAAAACAATAACAATAAATATATAAAGGTTTAATACATTTTTGACGTATAACAGATGAATCATTTAGATTGGCAGTTACACTATTATCATTAATGATATTTGATGATTTTATACAATTCAATGGTGGTACAAATGCATCTAAAAAATCTATAGCCAATTGAGGAAGATTCATAATAACTACAAAACGATCAATTGATAGTGAAATAGAATCACAATCAGCTGATTCAGTTGTGTCAGAATTCCCATATTTTCTGTAGTGCGGAAGAAGAATCTAACATATAAGAAAGAAACAAGTAATTGATAACTGATATTTTATAATACAAGACAATACAATACATAATTTAGATAACAAACTTCAACTTAATTTCGAAAACATTCCGAATATGATCAACGTAAATGATCGAGGAGGGATGCAAAAGTTTTCCACTATTAAACGATACTAGCTACAAAAATAAAACACAAAAATACTTGGTTTTTGTTTTTTCCTAAATTAAAACTTGATCATGATTGCTATCACATCGCAACTAACATGAAAACCTTGAGATACTGATTAGGTGTAGTCCTATTTTTTTAATGACTCACATATTTATACCTACGAATTCTTGGATCTCAGAGAAATAAAAGTTAGTAAAGCTAGTGAATTTGGTTCGAAAAACCATATAATCTAACATGTTTGTCTCAAGGGAGCTGTCTTAGTAAATCTTTGAGAAAAATTTAAACATACAGGTGTTAACATAGATTTCTCGGTCCAGTCTGAGTGAAATCATAATAGCAGTTAGGTGTTATAAAACAGAGTAACGAACAAAGTTTTATCATTTAATAATAATATAAACTTTCTATTAAAACGATCTATTCTACACGGTTGGAATATCATGACACGCACCTATAAGAAAACCAACAAACAAGCTATAGAGCAACCTTTCGAGAAAGAAATATCAGTGAACGTAACTTAAAAAGTATTAAGACATACTTAACGGAAGAATGAAGACGATAACTACATTTCAAAGTAAAACAAGGTAATGGAACAATAACACGCTATCATATTCATCGTGATGTAACATAACTAAAAATCCAGCATATTTTGATAAAAATAGTGAAATACAAAGTTCATGACTTTTCCGAACCATTACATTCATTTTGATGAATCGTAGACACATCTTGTGAATGATCTCAACTGTTTAAATATGTAATAATCATATATCTAAAACACTCGAGCTGAAGAATATTAGAAAGAACAGTATCAAACATTTCAGTAGCTATGATCACCAATTACACAGTTTCCACAAGTTATATTAAAAACCAAGTAACCTATGTAATAACGATTGGACAAGTCAATTACTAAACAATAATAATATTCATTGAGCATATCACAATATCTTTCTACAATTTGGTAAAGCTAATATATTACATATTTACAAAAAATGTAGAGATACGTAATTCGCGAAACACTTCAATTTAGGAAATATAACTTTTCATTGTAAATCCATATATAAAATCATTTTTACGAAGATAGTCATCATTAATTTATAGTTCATACTGGTTGCACAGGGAAACGAAACAATCACTAAGCAAAGTCTAAGACAGTTAATTCATTTTCTATGTAAATGCTCAGTTTAGGTAATTGTCACAAATTTATGACTAACTTCACGAATAAATTCACGTCCATCCATATTGTAGCAGACAATATTTTTCAAAGGGCGTTTACGCGATGAGTTTTGGGCAACGTTTTTTTTAAGCCAAATAAACGAATCAGGATTGAGATCATTCGCCAACACATGACATCCTGCTCGACCAGCTGGAATAGAGAAAGGTCCAATGCCAGCAAATACATCATAAACAACTACACGATCTCCAGGAATAGGTCGCGGTGTAAGAAATGGATCATTAATTGGAAGAGGTGGACGCAAACTGTTAACGACTCGTGTATGTTCAGTACCTAGACGAAAAAAAATTATTTTGTTGAAAACTCAGTTAGTGCAACAAGAATATTCCTTTGATACACCAACAATGACTGCTAGGAGGTTCAGTGATGAACAAAAAAGTTTGGAAATAGGATGTACTGTCAGCTTTTATAGAAACAAGACTATTCTAGCAGATAATCAGTGTTTCCATATTTATTAATCATACAAATCATCAGAACAGTAGTCATGATTTTAGGTGGAACAAGCAGGCAACTTTCTTCAATATGGGTAATACATTAAAACTTTTTTGTACAATCTGTTTACCTTAGTGATGTGAATAATGCTAGTGCACAACTTAAAACGCCTCATTAAATAATAAAAATGTTGACATGAAACTTAGCTGTGCATTTACGATGCAACTCAGATATCAAGCTACGACATACTTCTTTTACAGTTTTAAACCGACAACCAGTAGACAGTCAGCAGGAACAAACCCAGAATGCCAACTCACTTAGTATCCACAATTAATATACAAATGGGCAAACTGAAGACAATCACTAGCGGACATATTAAATGGAGACAATCATATGTGTGTGAGGAGTATTTTCAAAAAGCAATACAGCATAAGTAGGGCACGTAACTATCTTGAATCGATACAACTAACGAGCCATTGTAAGACACAAAATAAATAGCAAACATAATTGGTAGGAGTACCACAAATGTTGGGAAGAACATATATGACATGAAAAATCCGACTAGAGAGCCTATCACTAAACGCCAGTGTACGGTTTCTAACACTTATTTTTAAGATGAATTCATTGGGTAATATTTATCTGAAATTTTCTATGAACTCTCAACATACAAAATGTAAGTAATCACTTCAGGAACAGTAAAAATCTGCTTTACTATGGTGAAAAACAAATGGTTGCAAATATAAAAAAGGTAAATTTAACTAGCTGAAGTAGTCACTAATTTTTCTAATTAATTATATAAACTACTTCCGGGATATAAATGCTTGGTATGTTTAACATTGAAAAGGGTAGGTTATTTAGAAAGTTCCATGGTAGATATCCGAAATACTTGGTTTAAGGACCGATATAGTAGGTGAATTGACATTTTAAAGATTTAGAGCTATCTACCACTTTAGAATCATGGTGAGCGAAATTTCAGTATAAACCCTTAAACTTTAGACACTTGGCACGTTGTTGTCAAAAAATAATTCATTCAAGCTGATCTTCGTGAAATTTTAAGATTTATTAGAAGACTTAAACCTAAACATGTAGACTTAAGTGGCAAGTGTTTGAAATATTAAACTATGAACACATGCAAAAAGACATTTACGGGATAACACGGATGGAATTTACAGAAAATAACAATTCAATGAGGCAATGTATTGGAACAGAATTTAAGAGAAAATTAAAAATTTAGCGTCTTTAAATAAACAGGAAATAGGACGCTCACCCAAACGCGGATTACAGTAAACTTTACTAATATCCAAGTGCAACGTTACACTGTTTTCACGCATTGATGTTATGTAATCAGGAGCACCAGCAAGTAATTCCATTTCAAAAGTACGATAAGCCGATTCAATATTCGCAGCTTTATGAATAACTGTGCGAATATTTGGTATTTTATCAAGAGCAACCTGACCTGTAGTTCGTTAGTCAGAAATGATAGGGAACAAAATAAAGACTTGTCAAATAAAATATTAAAGGTGTTAGTAATATGAAAAAATAAAGTAAATATGTCACACATGTGAGTGAGTCGATAACTTTATGAATCACACAGCAAACATAAACATTTGCAAATGATAGTCATATATGGACTGATAGTTTTCCTCACTACGGAAAAGTAAGTAAATAAATAGTCCTGATATTTCCAAATATATGAAAGTTCAAAAACTTTCTCGGATGTGAACCAAGAATAGTTGTCCTACAAAAACTGTTAATCCTTTCTCGAATTGCATGGATTTGCTTTTTAGCCTAAGTACCACTTTAGTTGCTTTTTGAACATGTAGTGGCAAATAAATCCACAAAATAAACAGTTCAGTAAGTCATCAACATTGACACTGCAGATACCACAGGTATTTCTAGTTTGACAACACTTCAATCAATAACACCTTCTATGATTGAATCGTGCCCGCCCAGAGAAATCAAAAATCAGAAGCGAGGAGCTCCGAAGATATATTTGATAGGCTATCAATATATCGAGAAACGAATGATCTTAACTGGCTAGAGCTCGCAGGAGAAGTTGAGCACGGCGTTCTGACTCGTGATCTGGTGTGGATGCATGGCCGAGCGCCTTCAGCTAGGTGAGTTCATTAAAACTAATGTGGTCAGCATCCAGTTTCCAATGTCGATCGGCTATGACTCCTTGGTTGGGTCCTAGAGATGATGCGACTCAATGGTTTGAGATATTATCGGACATCGCTTGTAATAGGAGTCAATAGTGATTCTGTTGTTACGTTATTAAATTATTTGTAAAAGTGAGAGGACCTCTTTTGACTAAAAGAAGTCTTTCTTGAGTACACTTTTAGCTGAAATGTATCTGGTGTTATATGATATTCTTGTTTACTCATTTGTTTTAATTGTATTTTCTGATAGAACTTCCCTTTCCCCTCTTATATATCCCTTGAATTATGCAGGACATACTTATTTCGGTGCATAATGGTACCGGTAATTACCTGTAAAAATAAAATAAAAACACACTAGATACTTAATAAGAACCATAGATTGAAAATATAGCTTGTTACAAACATACAGAAACTAAGTCTATCGATCTCCAAACAACATAGGGATCAAGAGAACGGTTTTACGGCAGACCAACGCCTCAATAATGTCTGCAAACGACTATCTTAAGTGCAGAAGCGGGATTTATGCCCAATAAGTGAGGTTTTACTGAAACTTCGAAAGAGCAACTAGTTTTTTGAAAAAGTAAAGACATCACGTCACTCATCAATAATATGACGGTAGGGTAACGCTTCAGTTTTGAGATTAAATTGTATAACGTGTCCAATTATAGTAAACCCAGTAAGAGACAAAATGAAATCAGGCAACAATTCCTTGATAACTTGTTCGAATGTGATATTTTCATAACCGATCGACATATTCACGAGACATGGTGTGGTGACAATATTTTCCAACATATTTATCTCTTCTTCTACAACACTCACTTTTTTAAATGCTTCATCGTTCAATGAATTTTCAGCTTTCAAATCGTTTAGACATTCGGGCAATTTCGGTACAGATAAATCGACTGGTCGAAGATTTGCGTAATCTTTAGGTAAATCAACGTTCCACTGATTTAAATCAGTTATAAACTGTAAGATTTTATCAGGTTCAGGCATTTGAACCAGCATCAATTTACGCAACGATCCATTTGAATCTCGGCTGAAAGTGATTTTTTGTAAAGATAGAAAATGAACTATCAAGAATGAATAAACTATTTCAGGAGAAATAAATTATGATAACAAAACACTTAATGAGTAGGAGGCTTTATGTGGTGCCCAAAAACACTTATCACAAAGATTGAAAAACTTTAAAGAGTATATAGAGCGTAGTCAGAATATCTTCTTAGAAGTAATTATTCTAAGTTGATATTTTCCTTAGCAAAACACTAAGGGAAATCGAGAGATCCCGAAGAAGCGGAATCTGGGCGGGATATATTAGATTAGAACAGAAAATTTATCAAATTGTAGTAATAGATAACCATGAAATCAACATATGTTACGGAAACCTGTTTTAAGTTACTGAATGTCTCTGACCATTTATATTTCTCAGTCGATACCAAATCGCATACCATCAGATTAGTAGATATTTTTTAGGATGATACTACTCGATAGAATAGTCTACCTAAAGCTAAACGTAACAGCTACAAACTCACCGCGAAACTGATAGTAAATTGAAATATTTTTGGTAACATGGGTTTAACCCTTTTTACCAATATTTCACCTAGATCTAAAACAATACATTTAATCTGGAAATCGGTAATCTGATGACTGTTTCACTGGCGAGGCGACGTGTATAGATACTTTACTGTTAACAGGTATCGTTACCAAGGTTTGACTTGATAATTTCGAATAAATTGAGAATTGTGTAGATTGGTACAAATACATTACTTACTGTTAACAGTTGCACAACTGAAAGAAAAGCACTGTTAAGCTGAATTTGAAGGTCGATGCTCTACAAAAATAGAATGAATCTGTACGTTCAGAGCAAATAGACGAAGTAAAACTTAGATGTAAACAGGATTGATATAATTCTCTAAAAAATCTAACTGAAAATACTTAACATTTTCTGTATAAAATAATTATTTACTACACTTACAGATAAGTTATGCCAATTTAAATTAAAAATAGTTACATCTATTAAAGTAACTCAAAACCGCTTTATCCTCTAATCTGACCAAGTAGACTCTGTAAAATGTTGAGTTGAATAAACTCTACACCTATCATCGTGTATTGAAGAAACAGTTTAGAATTCACTTTTAAGGTGTAAACACCAGTTAATTAATTACTGACTAGAACTGATTTATCAGAGGTATGGCTGCCGTCGTTTCTGGTAACAGAAGAAAATTTTAATCCAAAACATGTTCTAGATGTAAACGAATTATGTGTTAACCAACACACTTGTATCAGTGCAGATGAGTGAACGAAAATTCAACAGGCAAAGCAATAAGTTACAAAAAGGTCAACGAGGTTTTGAAGGAACTTAACTTTTAATTTGTCTCAACCGCAGTCAGTAGAAATGTGCATACAAATTACGACACTTCTGAGTTGTCATAATACTGTAGTGAACGAGAACACAAGTGGGACAATCGAATGTATTTGAATACAAAATTACAGAACATCTTAGTAAAATCGGAGAATCATACAACAAATACTTCAGACAATCGTCTCAGACTTGATTGTTCTTTCGTCTCCACACCAACCATTCTTTGTCTCCGTTCTCTTTTCTTTGATCTTCTTAACCTTCTGCATCCAGGCATTTCACTTTCGATTGATGATACGTACTACTTATATCTGTCGACATCAGTAGCACACACCACAATACTATTCAGCCGAATAGTGTTGGGAACTATCGACAAAGGTTCAGTACAGAAGTCACTTATCTGCCCTTAGACTCAACTACACCCGACCGTTGTTGCTACCTCGACGTGGTGGTCGGGTTTGCCTATCGTGATGAAGCAACCGAAAGCGAAGTCGTACTGCTGACTGTACAGAGGTGTGACAGCAGTAAGGTGTTTCCTTCAGACAACCAGCATGACAGCGATGCTGTCTTCCCACAAGGAGGGGTGGGGTTAGAAAAGGTCGACCCTAAAGATGCACACCTCACCTTACCTCACGGATTTCCGTCTCCGGCGGTAAGGCTCTTTGAAGAACGGAGCTAACACGTCAAAAACCTCCCACGAAAAGGCCGTGCACGACCGACCTCAAGCAGTTGTCCCTTGGGCACTGCGGTCACGCTCTCAGGTCACTGAGACCACCTCTAATCCAATTTCCTTTTCAGGTACCTCCAGAAGAACCCTTCCTCGGTGTGGGCAACCGGCAAGCGATAACCGCCCTCATACCTCTAACAGCACTCGAGACTCAACTACATATCAAATGTTGGATCGCTTAAATTCATCAAACTAACAAGACAATTTTATATGAATAAACTCACAGGTTTTGTACGACTGCTTTCAGTCGTACAGCATGTGTTTAGTGCACATTCTGGCTGACGAGATCTGTTATTCTGTTCGAGATAGAGTGAGGATATATATAACTTTGATGTATGGGATGTAATGTCGTTTCGTGAGAAAAATTGAAAACGATTTCAAAATACCTCAGAAATATATTACTTTCACGCCACTAAATGATTGGAGTCAGGTTTTTCCTATTACTATAGGTAGAACTACACTAGCTATAATCTTTGACATTCATATAATTCAAAATATAGAACTACCATACGCCGCTACAATTGTAACTAACCATTAAAAACATTGCATTGGTTAATGTCAAAATCCACATATACGCCTGAGGAGTTTGGTAATAAACAACCAAAGAGAGATGAATTTCTAATCAAGCAGATACTTTCTAAGAATTAAACAATTCAGTATAAATATGAAATGAGTTGTGTTGACGGTAACAATCTAAACATTATACTAGGAAACTTACTAAGTTTTAGATATTTTAGGTAGTCGGATAAAAGGACAGAAAAATGGCTTCAACTTCTCTAAAGACGTCTTGACATGTTTATCACATTGAATACCGACGAATATCATTGGGACTTTACGTTTAAAGTAAGATCGATCCAATTTTATGTCGTTTGTCGGCGGAAGTTTACCGCACGGTTTCAAAACTTCTTTTAACTCCGAGTGATTTTCTGTACAAGGAAGTTGTTCATTCGTATGATTTATGTTGGAGGTCATCAGTGATTTCGACAAATACTTAACTGAATACACAGGAAAAAATATGGAAGTGGGTCTGAGGTAAGCAACAAAAGAGATTCTCGTTGCCTTGAAAGTTAAGAAAAAGGTACAATTAGTACATAGTATTCATAATCTGAAAGGGTTTCAGGTAATATCTACTACAAAAGTCTGTTGTTGACCACAGTTAATGTTTATGAAATTCACAACACCCAGTTATTACACACAAACCGTTGTCACAACTAGATGACACTCAACTGACAGAAACCATATTACAATCTAATGTCAAGATAAGTCAGTGAGAATCTAAAATACTGATTTAGACACTTTTAATTAGTAATTTACCCATGACAGTCTAGTTTTATCGACAGTTTAAACGCTCAGTAATATTAATTGCCAGACATGGAGTATTTAGTGTCCAGAACACTCATAACCGTTGAGTTACAAAATAATGAAAGTGGTAGACAGTAAACACACTAACACAACCATGAGTCTCATAGTTCAGGAGGCATTTAATCCCATAAACTAACACCTGAAACACCAACATCTAAAAACTCTATACCTACAGAATTCTCATAACGTGAATGTGCAATTATCCTGGAGAGACTGAAAGGCATCACTGCATTTTAATTACATTTTTGTGACAGATAACATAATAGAAAAGGACCATATAGTCTACGATGTTACAGCTTATGAAATGGTGCAGGGATATGAAAGAAATCCGTATATAACTGGCATCGATCAGTCAATAACAACTTACTGGTTGTGGTCCGACAGATGGTGCAACTCATTAGCTTGAAACGGTATTAGATGTGATTGAGAACAGAAGCCAATGGCTGTAATCATCATTCACATTCGTCTTATAATCCAGAACTCCTTTAACTGGGAGGATCCCAGTTCTAACATTCATATTAGTTGAAAGTTCTTTTGAGTCCCATATGTTCAATTCTTGCCTTTAAGTCTGCACCAGGTCCCTCTTGTTAATCGATGATGATGCCCAGATAAGTGAACTTTTCCACATCTTCCAGAGTCTCTCCATCAAGTGTGACTGAACCAGTGTTCCCCGTGTTTTGTTTCAGGATCTTGCTTTTCCCCTAGTGTGTTTTTAGCCCTAATGCTACAGACAGGTGTTGTTGTTACACTGACTGTCCTCACCTGCATTTGTCGGTGTATACGGGATAGAGGAGCTCGGTTATCTGCGAAGTCCCAATCGTCCAGTTGCATTCAACCTGTCCATCGTATTCCGTGCTTCCCCTCAGACGCAGGTTTTCATAATACACTCAACTGTCGGAAGAAAGAGGAAGGGGAATGTAAGCAGCCTTGTATGACTCCGGTCATCAATTGGAACGCATCTGCCAGCATTCCTTCATCCACGACTTTGAAGAGTAATCCCTCCTATGAATTCCGGATGATGTTGACAATCTTCGCAGGTACACCACAGTGTCTAAAGAGGTTCCATAAAGTTCTTCGATCTACGTTGTCAATCGCCTTCTCATAGTCAATGAAGTTGATGGGTAGTGATGAGTTCCATTCAATTGATCGTTCAACGATGATCCGTAGTGTCGCAATTTGATCTGTGCACGACCGATGCTTACGCAATCCGGTGTATCGATCCTAAAGTTGGGTGCCCACTAAATCTTTCATTCGGTTGGACAACACTCTGTTGAAAACCTCTCGTGGTACCGATTGTAGTGTGATCCCTCTGTAGTTCTCACATTTGCTCAGATCTACATTCTTTGATATCTTCATTTCTGTCTGTTGGAACTTGTTCCTCTGCAGTGTCGGTTGCTATTTCAAGCCCATATAGCTTATTCTAGCTTCCGGACAGGCCAATTTATTCATTCTTCTGGAGTCACATTTTGACCTTGTTAGTTATTCGCTTATCAACCTTGACTGTTTTTATGTAAGCGTATGCGTTTCTCATCTTACTCATCACATGACTGTAACATATTTTTGTTCAACTATAAATATCGATTCACGCTTAACTAAATTGAGTTGATTCACTCGCCTTCTCCATTGTGTGCCGTCCCGTTTTGCTTCGCTTTCCGATCAACGATTGTATGAAATATACGCACTGAAACTTAATTCTCATATATGACTCACTTAATTCCGTTAATCACTGACGCGATTTAAGTCGCTGATACTACACGAGGATTAACGTTACGTTTATTTCAATAGTAATCACTCATACGATTCAAATAAAGTCAGATATCGGGCCATTAAACCTCCCCCCAAATATTCCTGAACAGAACGTGGAGCATGTTCGCAGTTGCCCCTATGTTTGACTTTAGTGCTTCGGCTGTTATGTTTTCTCTTCCTGATGCTTTGCCGCTCTCGATTTGTCTTATGGCCATCCTGATTTCTTTGGTCGTTGATGCAGTGACATTAATAGGAAGGACTGTATGTGCTGCTTCGATATCCGGTGGATCTGGCCCATTCAACAGTTCCCTAAAGTGTCCCCCCATGTGTTCTTGGATTTCAGTGATTAGCCTGCCTTTTCCGTCTTTGATTGGTCTCGACGGTTCACTACATTTCCCTCCCACATTCTTTGTTACGTCATATAGTTTTTATATCCTCTGTTCCTGCTAGGTCTTCCAAGTACTTCTGATTGTCGGTTTTATTGCTCCTCTTCACTTGCTTGTTTGTTTCAGTGTATTCAGCTTGTGACTTGGCCCTCTCTGTTTTTGTTCAACTGTTGTTAGTTGCTGTCTCCTTGTTCTTCCTTTATTGAATACTGTCTAACGTTTCGATAGATGTCCAATCCTTATGATGATGGTTCTTGCGGCTCAGAACATCCTGACATGTTGAAGTTAGTGCTTGTTTGATCCCTTTCCAGTTATCCTTCATAGTAGTCTCATCTTCGTTGGATAGCTATTGCAAGGCTTGGAACACACTGTTGAGAGCTATCTTGAATTCATCCAGTTTGACTGTATTTCAAAAGAAGTTTGTATTGAACCTTTGAACTACTGTTTCTCCAGTTGTCCAGTGTTTCTTTAGCTTCAGTTTGATTTTGGCCACAACCAGTTGGTGGTGATCTGGAGTTATGTCAGGCTCTCTCCTGCTTCACACGTTTTCCATTGAACTTCTGAATCTCTTAGGGATGCTTTGATGATCCTGGATCCGTGAGATTCACATCCCATAAGTGCACTTTGTGCTCCTACGGACAGAATCACAGCAAATCCCTGAGTGTGTGAGTCATCTTCCTCTTCGTGACTAGAGTACAGCAGCATCTCCTGAATTCAAACTTTTCTGTTCAGCTTGGGTCCAATGGGTTTCACTGATTCCGAGCACTGTCAAGTTGTATCTCCTCATTTCCGTAGGTATCTGATTGGTCCTCCCGGTCTCTCACATTGTCTGGACATCCATCCCATGTACCTATACTAATTGCTGCTCTGGTTGTTAGGAGGGGAGATCGGTCTCATAACTTTCGGAGAATCTTGGCTTTCACCATGTGGCACCACAATTCCTCCGAATGAAGATCGTCCAACTCTCAGGGCAGAGTTTAAATGGTCCAATTTATTTATTCTGGTTAGGGCTTTTTGACAAAGCCGTTTCCTACGAGGCGGGGTTGCTGACCCCGTGTCCAACCGTCTTCCTTTACCCGGGCTTGATACCGGCAGTAAACCTAGAAGAGCTGCAGACGGAGTTACATAGTTTTCACATTTACTTCAAAGAATTGTGGATAATATGGAAATTTTTGATAGGTGACGTACGACGTTAGTTTACGGACTCAAAATGAAACCTTAAGCTGAAAGCCATAAATGACTGCATATTTATTCACTACAGTATAATAAACCAATGAGACCTTTTAATAGTCTGTATCGTTTTATACTCTTGTGGACGTCCCGTCGGGTATATAATTTAGTTCAGCCCTCTCACAATCTATGAAGGGAGTACCACAAATTGTAGGTACGACCGGTTGTGTTGGAATGTAGCACATCCAGTTAATACGAGTAGTCAAGTTCAGGGATTTCATACTGACGGAGATGGTCTTAGTAACTTCTAAGGAGTCTTTTGGTGGGAAATCTGACATACCCTGAAAGACTCTAGTCAATATCCAATCCTGATTGAATAATATTTTTATTATCTTGTTTAATGTACATGGGCGTCGATGAATTACTGCAACGTGACGCGGAACCCCGTCAAGCGAATGCTCCATTCCGTACCAACCAAGTGAACAGTTTGAACAGGACTCCTGCATTGTGTAGATATGCAATACTTCCAGGTCTCGAGCGAAATTCCAGACCCACGTACTAACTTCCAGGCGTAACTACAAGAGAATAAACTGTTTTATCTTAGTTTTATACTTGTAAAGTAGTCCATTTGAGACATGTTGCAGACTACAGGTAAACCTTAAGAAACTCCTCTCTCGAAGTATCTCAAGTTGAAAAAGATTTAGAAGTGCTGGTAACCTACGGTCTGAAGTATTACGCTAACTGTGACAAAAATGCCTTCCGAGCAAACCTTGCACTGGTGACATCGAAGCGCATTTCTGGCCAGTTTTTGACGGAAAACTCTCAACACAATCTTCAACAGTTTTATTCGTCCCTATTTGGAGTATAGAAAAATAGTATTAACCTCCTTACTCCAGTAGGATAAGGACACTCTAGAACGTATTCAACAGCCAGCCACGAAATCATCTCGGGAGCTCAAATTCAAGCCTTATGGACATAGCCTCCAATCAATTAACCTTTACCCATTAGAGTATAGGCGTCTTAGAGGTGACCTTTTAATGGCTTACGGTATCCTTAACACTTCTGAACATCTCCTTAAACACCTAAATAAGCTTAGTCTCAATACAAACCTACGGGTAACACCCAGAAATTGGAGACAAAATAGCAGAACGGACTGCAGACACAACTTCTACTCCTTAAGAGTTGTCAAATACTGGAATTCGCCGCTGGATGAGCTAGTTCAAGCGACTTCCCAGGAGTCCTTTAAGAGGAAACTTGATCTATTCTTAAGGACTAAGGATAGTATCACATTATGATTTACTAATTTCTTTTCCTCTTTTATTGTTAACATACCTAAGTTCCTGCCTGGAGGATTTGGTGATCCCCTGCTACTAGACACGGAAGCCTGTTAAGCGAAAGCTTCTTCTATTCCGTCCACAACCATTTGAACCATTTGAACCTTGTTCGAGAGGGAGTTCAATATATACAAGGTCGGCATCGGGAATTGGTCGTCCAGATGATAGATCAGTCACAGTCATGTCCGAGCTGCAGGTCTAGCAAGTACAGTAACCCACAGTTAAAATTGATGGTTAACGTATGTGGTCACTCACTGTAAGTGTATACAATATTCATGATGTTCACTCAAGGTGTGAAAACTGCGTCGAAGTGCTTTTTGTTCGAGGTTCAGGTTTATGTGCCCAATGCAAAACTCCTATACGCAAAACCAATTTTCGTTATCAGCTGTTTGAGGACCCTTTGGTACAAAAAGAAATAGATATTCGCAAAAAGCTACTGGGCGAGTATGTTGACGTTTCTAAATGGAATTTATGACAGTTTTAATAAACGTGAGGATGATTTTGACTGCTTAGAGGAGTACAATCTCTACCTAGAAAAAATAGAAAGCCTGAGTATGACTCCTGACTTTTTACTTATCTTATAGTTTACAATCTTACAAACGATATAAATGTCGAAGAAACAAAACGTTATATTGAGAATTATAAAAAGGAAAATAAAGAGATAATCAAGAAAAATCGAACTAAACCTGTAAGTTATTTCCGTGATCACATTTGTCCTTGAGTGTCAGTAACACTGATCTTATTTGTGTATGCAGTTACTTGTATTTCTGATCATATGTTCTCTAAAATGTCTAAGAAATAACGGCAAAATTGGGTGTTATTAATGTGTAAGCGGTAGTAATTCTTAAACATTGTCTGTCACCCTGAGTGGCCGCTTAGTGGTTTAAATATACTGACTCAACCTATCGATTCATTGAAATAAACCGAATTATTTGTTGCTTTAAACAACGTGATAGGTTGTAAGTCCCCACAACATACTAGTTGAAACCTTGTGCATGAGTACATCTGGTTGCAAAGTCTTAGGCTTATTCTCATCCATCGTACTACCTTCGTTTGTATCATTACATCTTACACCATTCATGTCTGGTGTAGAAGAAAGTACTGTGAATCAAACTGCCATATACGGTAACATGAAGGTTTATTTTCACCCAGCTTACCCTAATTCAGTAAATGTACGGTCACCACTTCAGATGTCACGTAAAACTAACGTGGTTTGATTGTTTATCACAAATTATTTTAGTTGCCTTCGTAATGGGTATCTTGGGAATTCCAGGTAAATTAAAATGGCTAGGTGAAGTGTAATCCATCGATTAATAAACTAACCAACAAATAATGTTCTTATTTTCAAACTTATTGATATCCCACGTTGAGCGACTTATATAGGGTCGTAAATAAATAATCAAAGCGTTGTTTTATGCCACACTTAACACGTAGTTCGAGTATACAATATATCGCCTTATCTTTCGTGCCTTAAATCTTGCTCTGAATACCACCTGTCGGCTGTCACAATTAAAAATAAAAATACATCTTAACATTTAGCTGATGTAATAGAATCCTTTCTCATTGGCTGAGTTTAGCGGTTATAAATTTGCTTGACACAAACGTTGATTAAAAATGTTCCTAAATACCTTATATGACTGCAATAACTTTTGAAGTTGGTTTTTTTTCTAAAGACAATTTTCCTTCAGAGCTAATTCATCAAGTTATGTAGTCTAAGCATAGTCAGTGAAGCGACCGAAGATATTGACCATTTCACTTCTATCTACAGTACGCTGTGACTGGCTGGCTATCAACCGTAGTGGTTACTAGTCAGTCAGTCAGTCAGCTACAACGTAGGACCAGGCACATATGTGCATCGGTCCAGGTTGCCATACCTCATTAGCACAGCAAGATGAACAGCGGATTCATAGGAGTGGTTAGGTCAAAGGTTGCAATAAGGATATAGATTAGGAAGAAAGAATTAGTTCGTAGAAAGAAAGATATGAAGTGATTTTAGTCTCTTAGTTTAAGGGAAGACAGGGAGTGTATACACCGACGCCATTGTGATCGATTCTGAGCCATGTCACCAAGAGTCTCCAACCATTGGTTACGATAGTCACGCGGACCCCAACCAAGTAGTCTGCATCTACCAACATGGCTCAGACTAGAAGTTAGTGACTTCAGGCACTGATGCCACGTTTTGGTTTGGCCGCCCCTAACTTTCTTCCAACCATCCCCTACCTCAGTTAGCATTGCACGTCGTGGTAATCGGTGTTCAGGCATACGTAATACGTGGCCCAACCATCTCAGTCGATGAAGATTCATAACCTCATCAACTGATTTACCATCATTCCCTAATACCCTGTGTCTAACCTCACTATTACTTACTCGGTGATCCCAGCAGATGCCAGAAATATTTCTAAGGCATCTGTGGTCAAATACTAGTAGCTTACGAGTGTCTTCTACTCTTAAGGGCCATGTTTCGCTGCCGTGAATTAAAACAGAACGAACTGCCGCGCAGTATACT